TAAGCTTTGCTTGCCGAAAGCCCAAGGTGACTTGGGCATCCACAAGTGATGATGGAGGTTGCCACTCAACCCTAACACCTTAGGAGGGAAGTCATCCGCCAAAAATACTATCAAGAGTCGATACCTTGACCCTTGCGGGAAGAGTCAGCGGCAACATCTCAGGTTTTTAGAGGCATGTGCTTCACTGTCATGACCTCTTCCTTCAACATATTGGCTTTCGGCCAAGGGAAGGACATAGAGTGAGATTCTGGACAAACACTTGGATTGGCCACACCCCGCTTAGCGACCAGTTCCCTACCTTATTGCTCATTGCTCGTCATGCTCATTCTTCAACGGTCAAGAACTTTGATGGCTCAAGGTCAGCTTGATCCTGGACGCCTAATTTCATAAGGCTCTTAGTCGATCACGAAATAGGGGAGTTGTCCTTGCATCCAAAGTCCGGTTCCCCTTCATACCACCAAGGATACAAGTTCTCTACTGGATCACTCTATGAGAGAGTCTTAACTATCGACCATATCAAAAAAAGAGGCTTCCCTTGTCCCAACAAGTGGGTCATGTGTATGGAGGCAGAAGATACCAACGAACACCTTTTTATTCATGGCAATGTTGACAGACCCTTATGAAGCAACCTACTTCAATTATTTCAGTGGTCATGGGTGACCCCCCATTTGCTCCCCCACCTGTTCGAGGCTTTTCTCTCCACTCTCGGGACCAAGGCAGGTCGACTCCTTTAGAGAGCCTCAGTAGGCCACCACAATTTGGGTAATTTGGAGTGACATAAACAACAGAACTTTCAAAGGCGAGAGGACCATTGTCGCCACCATGATAGAAAAAGTTAGAACATCGATCTCCTTTTGGGCCAAAAACCACAAGCTATTCAAAGGTTTTTCCTACTCTGACCTCCATAGTAAATGGCAATCTATGTTCGTCTTGAGAAACCCAAGGATCTCACGGGCCTCTCTTTGGAGACCATAGAAGTTAGCTACACCAAGCTGAAGTTTCACGGTTGCTCCCTTGGCAACCTTGGACCCTCTAGCACAAGGCCTCTTCAGCACTAACGATGATAGCACGTTTTATCTTTCTCTCGACCTATTAGCATGGTTGACTCAATTCTGGTTGAGGCCCTTGCCCTTCTAAAGGGCCTTCGCAAGTTTAACCCCAGTTAGAGCCCTAAGATAGTGGTTAAAGGGGATTCTAGAAACATCATTGCTTGGGCTTCCAATCCAACTTCCAGCCCGTGGAGACTTGACACATTTTTGAGGAGATATTGCATATTTCCAGGAGTCTTATGAGTTTCATGGAACCACATCTATAGGGAAGCTAATACTGCAGTTGATATCTTGGCTAGGGAGCGAGCCCACTCTAATCCCATCATGGGGACCCAGGCGGTTTTTGTGCTCTTCAATCTCAGCTTCCTCGGTCACTGTTTTTTTTTGTCTTCTAATGTTGTAAAGCACTTTTTGGCCCTCTCAGGGTTCTTGTATAGGATGCCCTCTCTTATGGGTCGCCTCAGTTGTTGTAAACCTTTTTTAATTAATACACGTGAACACTCTCAACAAAAAAAAACAACTTAGTGCCACAAGAATGTCCATTGCAATCAGGATTTGAAAACTCAGCTTGGGCTAGGGACTCGAACCCTGCGCTAGCCAAGTTACTCATGCGAATTTGAGTGGACTCGCCCGAGTACTGTATGTCCCAAAAAAGGTCTAACAAATCAAAATAAAAATTTGTTAAAAATAAATAATAAAAAAAGCAAACTCTAAACAACATTAAAAGTCTATATAAGATGGAAAAATATAGAAAATCGATTTAGAAAAAGTTGATTTATAGCTAAAAACATTTCAGAAAAAATCCAATAAAACAGATACAAAAAATAGAGCATACGACAAGAAAAACTCATTTATCATCATCAAAAAATCAAATTTATATAAAAAAATTTATAAATTTATTTTACAAAAAAATATAAATTTTTTTATTTTACCAAGTTTTTGCCCAAGTACTCAGCTTCGCGATGGGCCCAATCTAAGTAACTAGATGAAGCAACAAGAATCAAAGAGAGACAGATAATCCCAAAAGAGCTAGAGCGCAACAACCATTAATCAAGCATCGCAACTCCACAACTTCAAAATTCTATTACAATTTCAATAAAGTTTCCCATCCCCCTTCACAATGGACACATAATATCTATTTATAAGCATAGAAATCCTAAAATTAACTTGAGATCCAAGTAAACAATTTCAGAATCTAAAATGGCCCTAACAATTAATAAATACCAAGAAAACTCTAACGAGCCCTAAAATTCATCACTATTTTCATGCATGTACTATAAACTAAGATTTGAGGCCCAAAACAGTCAAATTATGAAAAAAAGAACCCAAGAAATAGCCTTTGCAGATAAGTGAGACATCTTCGAATTGCAACTTGAAACATCATGATAGGGCAAAGAAATGCAAAGTTATGATCCTCATATAATGATTACATCATACACCCCTTCTCAAAAAGAACTCGTCCTCGAGTTCACTATGAGATCCTCCTTTTTCAAGATTGATATTTCCACCGCTTTGCATAACCTTTGTACTTCTGACTTCACTTTTGGTAGTTGGCAGTTGGTAGTGTAGTCCCACCACTTGCTTTAGTTCTCCGTCATTGGATATCCATATTGTAATATAATGTGTATACTTATGGGGAACAAAATCCTTCATGAATAATAGTTCAAATTCATTTGAAATTCTTCTAGATAGGGTCTTCGTGTTCGATGAAATTTAAAATCTTTATCACAATAAAAGACGAGATTTCCATCATATACCTCTTTAATCATATGTTGTTTATCTGGATCCTCATCATTATGCTCATCAATTATGTCATTAAGTGGGAATTCAATCTAGCAATCCAAAAAGACACCAGCAAATGCATTCTCCTCTGAAACTTCTAAGAAATATTAATGAATGCCAGATCGTCGGTGTGAAGTTCATGAAGCTCACAGTTGCCCAATATATCTTTAGAGTTTGTAGCTCCATGGATCACCAGATCCATCAGTTGATGCACTCTTTGAGTCAAGACCACCTTCAATTGTGCAACTTGGGTCTCAAGGAACCCATGCACCCATTGGATCTCTAATCCGACTCGATCAAGTCTGCTTTGATATGAATTTGATGCAACAAGAATTGAAGAAAGAAAGAAAATTTCAAAAAAGATGGGGAGTGCAACAACCATTAATCAAACATCACAGGTCTAGAACTCAAAAGTTCCATTGCAATTTCAGTAAAATTCCTCATCCCCCTTCACAATGGACACATAATAGTGTATTGATTAGCATATGAAACCATAAAATTAACTCGAGATCCAAGTAAATAATTTAAGACTCTAAAATACCCCTAATAATTAATTAATTCCAAAAAACTCTAATTAGTCCTAAAATTCATCACTGTTTTCATGCATGTACTATAAACTAAGATTTGAGGCCCAAAAGAGTAAAAAAATGAAAGAAAAAATGAAAGAAAAAGAAAAAGAAAAAAGAACAGTAAAGTTATGAGTCCGAGTTGATTTAATCAAACTTTTGAACACTGATTGCAATATAAAATATGGCCATTTCAAATGTAACGACATATAACTTAGCACACACCCCCATCTCTATACAAATGCCACCAATCTTGCCATATTTTAGCAATTTCATATCAAGCATGTAAAATAGCCTACTTGCCTTAAGGAAATAGTGTCAGGTTCCATATTTTACTTGCCTCTAATGAAGTACTACGCAATATTAAAATATAAGTCAGTAAGAATATAACAATTGAAGGTAAGCTCACAACTAAGACAGGAAGCAAAAAGTCAAAAAATATGTAAAAATGTGTATTTTAAAATGGTAAATTTATTTAAATGCACTTAAGAGATAGAACTATTTTAACATTTAACACTTCATGTGACTTTTGATTTAATTTAAAATACCCATCAAGTACACATGATCATGTGTTGGAAGAGTTGAAAATGTGTAAAATTTCATATGAGTTAGTGAGTGAGCTACTGAGTGTTGAAGAGAAGGAAAGATGACCATAGGTTAGCTTAAACTGGATCGATTTTAGAAGGGAACAGATTTGCTATAACTCCCTTCTTTCCCGTCCATCAAAAGATGTTTTTTTTATTTTTATCTAGTTTCCTTGCTTTACGCAGTGAGAATCTATCCATCTTCATAAAGGAGCCGAATGAAACCAAAGTTTTATGTTCAGTTTTGAATTAGAGACATTAAAAAATAATGAATTAACGTCAACTATAACCCCTAGCCTTCCAAGCTAACGATGAGGGTTCGATTCCTGCTGCCCGCTCCCTCCATATCCCTCCAAATCCCTCCATACATGATCGATCATTGATCTTTATATACATCATTATTCCAGAAGATTCTCGCACGGAATACAATCAATTGGATTATGTTTTTATTAGAAGAGATGACGGGAAAAGAGGAATGGGAGGGAAAGAAGAGAATCTGAATCAAAAGTGTCCATTGTCTAATGGATAGACAGAGGTCTTCTAAACCTTTGGTATAGGTTCAAATCCTAATGGACGCAATTTATTTCCATCTATTTTTTTGTTTCGATTGCAAACAAATTTTGAATGATTCAAATCAGAGATAGAGATCTCTCTCAACGATTCCTATTGTACTAAAAGACACCATGAATTCATTGATTTACGTTTGTTCCTGAAATAAAAACAATTCTATCCGTTCCTGAATAGTTCTTTCAGAATGGGTTCTACTTCCTCGATGAATGTCCGGGTAAAAGATATGATTTCTTGGAACTGAGGCTTATTTGTTGTTAAATAAGTTGGAAGAAATGTGTAAAATGTCATATGAGTTAGGAGTATTTTGAAAACTTTCCCTTCTAAAATTGATCCAGTTTAAGCTAACCTATGGTCATCTTTCCTTCTCTTCAAAAAGGCATTGGTATTTCTCTCGACCTTTACTTTGTGCAATTTCTTCCATCCATGATCCATTTGAAGATGCTAATAAATATTTGAAATGGTATTAACTATACTAAAATGAACAACACATTAATTTGAATCAACAAGCATCCTGACTCAGGCACTTGATTTCAGGAGCATACCCAGCTCCCTTCATCTCCAAAATCATCCTATCCAGTACAGCATAAATCAGACTGGAACTTGGATGTGACTTATCTGAAACATAGAAAGAATGAACCTTACTATTAACGATAATCCAACTATAACCTGGTAACTTCCTCAATCCCCTTTCTTTCATCTCTAACCTCACTTCTGATACACCATCCCATATCCCAGAAGCTGCATAGACATTGGAAAGAGACACATAATGTGCAGGATTTTGAGGTTCTAACTCCAAAAGATACTTAGAAGCCAATTTCCCCATCTCTACATTCTCATGAAGCAATGATGCACTAAAAAGAGCACCCCATACACTAGGACCAGGCTCATCAATAGACATGCTCTTTATGAAATCCAGAGCGCGATTGAGCTGCCCATTCCTCCCAAGCATATCGACAACACAAGAACAGACCTCCATAGTGGGTACCATCCCATACTTTGTGGTCATAAGGTTGTAATACTCCATACCTTTTTCAATCATTCTTGCTCTAGCACATGCAGATAAAATCCCCACAAAAGTAATATTATCAGGTTTAATTCCCAGTTGTATCATCTCATCAAATAGTAGCATTGGCTCTTTTACCAGACCATTTAAACTATACCCAACAATCATAGAACTCCAAGAAATAACATCATGTTCATAGCAAATATCATCAAAAACACACCGAGCATGATCTAAACACCCAAGTTTGGAGTAGGCATCGATCAAAGAATTACTCAGAGAAATTTCTGAATTCCATTGATTTCTAATGGAGAAGCCATGAATTTGTTTACAAAGAGTCAAATCACCGAGAGGAATACAGGCAGGAAGGACACTTACCAGAGAAACTTTGTTGGGTTTTATGGTATCTATACTTTGCATCTCTCTAAAGACCTCCAAAGCTTCATATGAATAACCATTTTGAGCATAACCGGCAACCATGGATGTCCAAGTGACCACATTTCTGCACTGCATCAGTTCATGAACTCTCCTTGAAATTGCCAACTTTCCAAGCTTTGCATATGTATCAATCAAACAACTACCAATATGAAAATCCAAATCCAATCCAATTCTTAACAAGACTGCATGGATTGGAAACACCAGATTCTTGTTATTGCACAGGGAAAGTAATTGAACTACCGTAACACCATCTAATATGACTCTTTCTAAATGCATTTGTCGAACAAGCTCCCAGACCTCATTAATTGACCCTAATTTTGCATACCCAGAAATCATGGCGTTCCAAGAAGCTATATTTCTATCAGGCATTTCATCAAAAACCTTGCGAGCAAAAGTCAACCACTCGCACTTACAATACATTACAATTAGGGCATTCAAAGCAACAACATCTGAACAAAAACCAGTTTTCTCCATCAAAACCCTAATTTTTTCACCCCTCAAGGAATCACAAAGCTCTGCGCATATTTTCAACACTGATGAAAAAGTGAAATGATCAGGTCTCACATCAGAGTTCAACAATTTATCATACAAAATGAGGGGTTCATCCCAAACCGTATACTTCACATATGCACTTATAATTGAATTCCACAAAAAAATGTTCTTCCACTGAATTGTATCAAAAACCAGTCGAGCATCTGATAACTTGTTACAGGTGGAGTAAACAGTGATGAGATTTACAGATATAAACTGGTTTTGGGCAAAGCCTAGAATCCAAACTAGTGCATGAGCTTGCCTCGCAAGTTGCAGAGACCTGAGACCAATCGCATGACGGAGATATGCCAACAGATCATCAATGGAAGTTGCAGAAGGCTCCAAGGTTGCTGTCATGAAATAACGAAACCCTAAAACGTGCTTTCTAACAAGTCCTTGATCACTTGTATGTGCAAACGCTTGATTCAAAGGTTGCAGAGACCTCACCCTAATCAAATGAGGGTGAATAACATTGACGTAAGTGGTTGAAATCGCACGAGAAAAATAGAGCTTTCTTGTGAATCGGAACCCCAAAATCCATGAGGAACGGAGCATAAAGCGCGGTGCTGGTTTTCCCGGCAACTTGGCTGCAAATTGTTACAGGGAAATTACAAAACCTTTTGAAAAATGGCATCGACATCAAATTTCCCGGCAATTCTGATCAGTCAAAGATGTAAAAGCGATTTTGTACATTTAATTTCAGAACTTTAAAGAGCAAAGACCATTAAGGCAAAAGCCATCCGAGTCTTTAATACTCCTAAGCCTCTGGTCGTTTGGGATGCCCATGTCCGCCTACCGAATCCAATTAATTGAGAAAAGCTTTGACGATGATATTTGGTCCACCAATCGACTTTAATTAATTGAAAAAAACAGGCTTTCACGATGATATTTGGTCCGCCTCTAATTTTATAATTTTGAAATTTGCTCCTAGAAAGCTCCTATTGTGGTTATGAAAGTTTATGTAAACTTCATCAAGTTCCATAATGATGTAATAATTTTTTTAAAAAAAACTAACGTAAAATCATTTATAGATTTAAATTTTTCTTTTCTTTTTTGTTTCTCTTGATCAAGGGTGACTTGCCAAGAGTCATTGAAACAACTCACCTCAGACTAAGCTCGAGTCTAGAATCGAGTCTAGGTTTTCAAAGACTAGAGTGAACATATATGTGAAGTTTTGTATTGTGCAATATGAAACAAATGATTAATTCGATCTTGCCGAATAATATATTTTTCTTTTTTTCACCCATTTTCTTTTTTTTTTTTCTTTCTTTTGACAAAGAGCACTTACAAGTAGTCTTATTACAATAATTCTTGTTTCGAAAAAATTAAAATTAACAAATCAAATATATTAAAAACCTTGATGCCATTAAACCATTTTTTTTAAAACAAAAAAAAAATCCACAATTCTTACGCTTGGAAATATAAAACCAATATAATTAAATATAACAAGAAACAAAAAAAAAAAAAGTGTCGAAGATTACCTCAATCGAGCTTATTACACCCCACATCGAGTCACCAATATCTGATGATGCGGGATTAACGGTTTAGCTTCAATCTTAAACTGGGAAAGGAAATTTCGATCAAATTGAATATTCACCCTTAAATATCTACAAACTCTAACCCTCAAAAAATTATTGGCTTATCCCTAATTTTTCAAACCTTAATATTTTTAAAGTATGAGAGAGAATGTGGGAAATCAATCTCTACAAACTCTAACCTTCAAAAAATTATTGGCTTATCCCTAATTTCTCAACCCTTCGTATTTTTAAAATATAAGAGAGAAAGTGGGAGACCTAGAGTTGTGCGTGCCCTTCTAAAGGCTTAGGAGATAAAGGGTTATTACACCCCACATCGAGTCACCAATATCTGATGGCGATGGATTAACGGTTTAGTTTTAATCTCGAACTGAAAAATAAAATTTCGGCCAAATTGAGTATTCACTCTTAAATCTCTACAAACTCTAACCATCAAAAAATTATTGGCTTATCCATAATTTTTCAACCCTTAGTATTTTTAAAGTATGAGAGAAAAAGTGGGAAACTTATATCTACAAACTCTAACCCTCAAAAATTTATTGGCTTATCCCTAATTTTTCAACCGTTAGTATTTTTAAAATATGAGAAAAAAAGTGGGAGACCTAGGGTTGGACGTGCCCTTCTAAAGGCTTAGGAGAGAGAAGGTTAACAAGAGAAAGTTTGAGAGAGAGACCCATTGGAGAGAGAATGGGTGGGGAGGCTTAGGAGAGAGAGGGTTAAAGAGAAAAAGTTTGAGAGAGAGACTAAGAGGAGAGAGAATGGGTTAAAGAGAGAAAGTTTGAGAGAGAGACCAAAAGAGAGAGAGTGGAGCATGCCTCAATGGGAAAGAGAGGAGAGAGAAAGTTGTAGGAGAATAAAAGTGTAAAGAATAGGGAGAGGGTGTACCCCTATTTATATAGAAAAATTAAGTTTAGGGTTTCTGGGTTTATCATATTTTGTCTCTTTCTTGAGATTAAATATGGACTGTTGATCAATGTGATTTGTGGGGTGAGATATCTGAGTCATCCATTCCATAGATGAGGCATTAACATTATAGAAAGTGCTTGGACCATTATCCCCCTTTCCTTAAACTATTTTCTCATCAATATATTTAAATAAATTGAATTTTTTTTAAACATTATTCATTCCATAAAATAGCATATTTTTTCCCATACTATTCAAAGATATGTCAAGTCAAGATATGCTTTTAATATTTAGGATAAGATGTGGTCAATCTTTTCCATATCTAATATCACATGCCACAAAGATACCTTTCCTAAATTTGAATAACTTGACAACAAAGCAAACAACCAAGAGGTGAGGCGTGGCACTACGTGTAGGCCCCACCCACATGGTACATGGTGGGCCCAAGTGCATTATGGGCCCCCATGATATTTAACAAATTAATTTCTAAAGTATTATTTGAATTTTATAGTTTTGTAAAATCAATAACTTCATTTTTATAAATCCAAAAATTATAAATAAAATAACAAAAGACTCATAAAAATTCAAATAATAATTCTAAAATAATTTATATCATAAAACAAATATATAAAATTAATATGATGGGAAATGAATCCATATGGTTTAGGAATTAAATTAACAATTATGGGGGCACTCCACCTTCATCTATGAACTACGGACCACGCTTACTTTATTAGACCGACCTAGTGTTTTCCATGACCCACAGTCCAAGCAGGGGCTCAGTAGCAGGTCACCAAAGTCAGGCCGATGAGCCAAGGGGTCGCAATTCCAGTCTGTGGATTTCAGATCATCCCCTATAGATTAGTCAAGGTACCAAGACCTTATAAGACCACAGCTCTATAGTGCATAGGGGTATCTCTCGCACATGCATACGCTTCATCCTAAAAGGTGGATATCTGATTTTTCCAAACGATCTATCGATATGCATGCCTCGTGATGGATCATGGATGAGATTTTGGCTCCCGTCTCTATAGGTCCACCATCACACACAAGGATCACATAGTCCCTCGGCTCATTTATCCAGGCATAAGCTCCGACCTCATCAAGGGACAACCCATAACCCTTATCGGTTTGTTTTCTACGCCCAAATACCTTGGGTTTTCCAACCGACTGACCTAGATTGTTAAGCACAATCTGATATCAGCAAACATCGTTTGCTTAGTATGGTTTACGAGGGACCACATTCCCACTGAGTTCATGTTCCACTATATTATTTCAATTTACAGGCACTCATAAGGCCTTTAAAGGTGACATAAACCCAACAATTTTAACAATATTCTAACAATTTTAATATGGGACTGTATATTATGAGACCGTCTATTTTTGCTACAAGGAAGTCACAAATCACTTTTAGCCATTGGATGTGAAATCCAATAGATGAAAATGTGTCACAACATTCGAGCAATTTTGTTTTGGACTTTGTGCTTAAACAATAATACATCTTCAATCGCCAAATTTAAAATCTAACAGACAAAGATGATTGTAATCTCCTTGTATCAAAAGTAAACACTCTCATTGCATACGTTTTCTTTTAATATACTCACATATAAAGAATTGGAATTATTTATTTTTATTTTTTGTCTTCAAAGACAAATTTTTTGTTTTCAGGTAGGATGAATTAAAATGTTTCCATGGGCCATTAAACATTGATAATGAAATTGTTATAATATCCAGGTGAATATTCATGCAAGGTGGCAAGGTGTGTGCGCTGTCTTTGATTTTTTATGTTTGCTGCATAAAATGCTTTAGTTGTGATTAGTGATTATCAAATTTGCAAAGCCACAAAGAAAATCAAGCACCAATATGAAAACATATTTAGCAAAGCTTCGTTTTAAAATTTTTTTTTTCAATTGTACTTAGGGTTTTAGATAAATCTTGAAAGCAAAAAGTTTATATAATGGTGAGATCCTAGACAATCAAATTAAGGCGCACTTGAAAAAATCACCATAAAAGGTTATTTTGATGCCCACAAATCCTAAAATTGATCATCTTGGCCTCAAGATGTGTGGACGTGAGAAAAAATAGATTTTAGGTATTGAAAATAGTGCATCTTAGCATTTTCTAGACTATTAATTTTTAAAATTCTCAAGTATTGATAGATTTGCTCAATGTACACTATTTTTTAAGATTTAAATTGTATAGTTAGAGATAAAAACAAATTATATGCTATCACAAAGATTTTCAGCACTGAAACAACACCTTTCGACACTTTTTGAAGGTATGCCTTACTTTGATTGTTTAGGGCCTCAGCCCTATGCAAACCATGCCTTTTTCTAAGTAACTTCAAAAAATGCTTGATTTTATGAAGAAAATGAAATTTTAATGTATTATATCTTTTTTCCAAAATATATTCTACAATTAATTTTTAAAATTTGCCTTAAACTTATTATTTGTTATTTTTTTAAATATGCAATTGGATATATTAAGCACCAGCAAGGTATTAACATTGATTTGTAAGTTGATTACATACATTGTGAACTAAAATTCTTTGTTTGTATTTCTCTACACACAAACAAAATATACATATACACACGCCCATTAGTTTCAATTTCATTTTTTTTAGTTGAAATCCCATTCAATTGTTCATTTTAGTGTAACTCATTTTTTATGCTTCATTTTCTTGACCCATTTTTTGGCTCTTGTTTTTTTAGGACAATAAGAGCATCTATGCTGACTTTTGGTTTGCACTACATGAATCTTGAATTGCTGACTATGAGTGAAGTAATAGAAAAAGAGATTGTCTACAAAGAGACTATTTATCTTTAATACATAGAGGTCACAATCATTATTGTCCTTTAAATTTCAAATTGGGTGGTTGTAAGAGTGTCATAAATAGACACAAAATTCCAAAAAATAATTTCTCTATGTGACTCACTCCAAGCCATCCAATTTGATATCTAATGAGTGAAAATGATTGTGATATCCATGTACAAAAGATAAATGGTCTTTCTGTAGACAATCCCATAGAAAAAATAATATAAAACTTTTCAACAAATTAGTCAAGGTAATGGTGGCAATGGGCCGCATGGCCGGACCCTAAAAAAAAGCAGGGCATAGGCCATAAAAATGTGGCCCAAGGGCAATGCAAGGCCAGGGGCAAACCAGGCTTGGACCAATATAGGCCGGCCAGGTTTAGCCCAACCAAGCCTTGTTTTTTTAGCTTTTCTTTTAAAAAAATTCATTTAATTTTATTTAGCCCAGCTTGGCCCTGGGCAAGGGCCTCTTTGGCCCTATCTAGGTCAGGCCAGGGCTCAGGGGAACAGGGCCGGCCCCTGCACGACGCATTTCCAGCCCTAATACAAGGTAAGCAAATTAAGAAATGTATCATATGATATGCACATGCATTATAATTAGGATCATTACCTCCTTAATAGGGTTTTTTCTAACCCTAATTATATATAACTCACACAATTCTTGCAAGATAGCCGGTCACGGGCAATTATGATGCGCTAACAAACCTTCACCTAGTTGTTAACGATCGATTACTGAGATTCTCTTTAGGGATGTCTTGTGCCTAGTGTCTCTATTAAAATGACGGTTGGCAATATATTCATTAAATTTGCAAAACTTTATAAGGTAGCTTGTGACTAATGTCTCCATTAAAATGACCAGTTGGCAACAAAATAATTAAATTTGCAAAATTTCATAGGGAAAATTATGATAAAGCACATAACTTATGAACTATTTACCTTATCACCCTTTTTTTTTTTATGTAATTTCAAAATCTCATCAACAGATACAACCATGAGTTAGAAAGTTGATATTTTAGGCATGGTTTGATAAATCAATATAACGTTAAATAACTGATATTTTTTAGATCTTGTTTGATAAATTTTATTAAAATGTGGTTATGTATATCTTTTTTTTTTTAATCTTTCAGTGAGACTGAAAGGCTCAACATAGTTAATGTATATCATGTTCCTTTGTAATGTTGTAAACCTATTGTTGTATTGAGGAGGGGAGCCAAGCCACACAACATTTCAACATCATATATTCCAAAATAGTCTCATTTTAACTCCTTGTGAAGATTTTCTAACATATTATTGCCAGCTTTGGAACCATTTCATGGTTTTATGATGTCCATTAGAGATACATAGATTTTACACATACAATTTTTTCTTTCTCCTAGGCAAATGAGGGTAGAAAGATGTTCCCTGCCCATTTTCATTTCTGATAAAAGTAGTAGATACAGTTTAAGAACCCCAATAAGAAGCACTTTGACACATGAAAAAGCAAAAAGAAAGAACTTACAATTAGGTAGTCCATTCGCAAACTAGAAGCAACTGATATTTTGCTCCCTTTTTAGCCAAATGAACGTAATGGGTACTCATATCCAACATCCACGTTTATCTATAGCTACAAATCGTGGAGATTGAGTCATTGTTTCCGCTTAAAACAATGATATCCTGAAAAAAGCAAAAAAACAACTCATTTTAATATATCTGAATTAGTAGGGACAATGAATGTTGGGTTCGAGTACTCCACGTTGGATTCCCTTAGCGAGAACAATTGTCACAAGATTAGATTCTCTATAAATAGAATCTGTCGATTGTGCCGATTCATCATATTGATCATAGCAATAATTGCCGGAATAGGGGCAATTGTGCCTTAAATTCGTATTTCAGCTTACATGAAAAAAGAATAATCAGTCTCCACCCGATCGTTATTCCAAGATCCATTAGGCAGGCACTCCAAGATCTCAAACTCAACCTCATTATTAACGGGCGCATCAGAGGAATGTCAGGGCACATTTTGAATGGCCCAACAACTCCACTGTCAAAGGGAGCATACGTGGAAAACATTATTCTTTTCCAAATCTGTCGGCAGCGGCGGTGGCGGCGGCATGGGTATTTCGGGCATTTTTGTTATATGCAGGGCTACAAATGCTGCAGCTGGAGGGAGAAAACTACCCAATTCCTTTTTAAATGGAGAATCCAAACAAGCCTAAAACATAACCAGCATTTGCCACCTTAATAACAAAGCATCAAGCATCCCCACAACAAACTCCTCTTCCGAGGTTTCTACACATATACTTCTCAAGAATTGGGGCATTACTGCTGATCAATTGCACTTAAATAAAAACATTAAAGAAAATTGTACTTAAATAAGGGATTAATAGGCCATATTTTTAACAAAAAGTTATAAAGAATTTCCATTGTTATCAGCATTGCCCTAAAGGAGCTGATGCATGAGTAACAAGATCAAAGTACAGGTCTCCTTCCACTGTAAACCTTGGAGGTTTACTCTTTTGGAAACTACTTTTAATAGTTTATTTGTTTTTATATGATTATGGAACATCTTTGTTCTCACATTTAAGCAAAACCATCACTATTCAACCCATATCTTTCTATATATAATTGTATAAATAACAATGGTTGAATAAAAATATATTTAACATTTATTAAAAATATAATAAAAATTAATCCCTTTTGCATAGCTAAAGTAGGTTAAAATAAGGGCATGGAGACGATCATTTAAGCCCAGTACTGAAATTTGCTAATCTTCCCAATGGAAGCTTAAGAGAAATAATCCATGAAAAAAAATAAAACCAATTGTGTTCAACTTGAATTTGATTTAGTTAAGTGCTTGAGATAGCGCCTTAATCACCACCATATATGACTCCATTTCATATTTTAAATTATGTGATTGTCTATAAAGAAACTATTTATCTTTTGTACACAAAGGTCATAATCATCCTCACTCGTTAGATGTCAAATTGGATGGCTTGGGTGAGTCACGAAGTTCAATATATATATTTTTTGAAACTTTGTGGCTATTCAATGATACTCTTACAACCACCTATTTTGAAATTTAAGAGACATGAATGATTGTGATTTCATGTACAAAAGATAAATAGTAGTAGACAATCCCTTAAATTATACCATGCCCTAAAATAATCTTTCAATTTTAGGGTCATTCGTCTTTGTTCAAGCAACAAATGTCAAGGTAGTAGCTGAAAAATTGTCAATTTGACTTGGAATTGCTCGAGTTAGATTGGGCTTAAGAGTCAGGCGATTCCAATTCGAGGAACCGATAAAAACCTTGGTTTTTTCAAATTTTAGTTCGTTTCTAAGTTTCTTTGTTATCTGTGTCATTCAAATCGTGAATAGCTAGATTTGGATTCAGTGATTCAAAATCGAACCGCAATTTTAGTCGCGATTCATATTTTTAAAACACTCTATTAAGGGGAGTGAGTCAACCTAAATCTTTCTCAAAATACACCAAGGTTGTTATGCACATCTTAATACAAACCATTTTTGAACAACACTATTTTTAAGATCCTAATACAATCCACTCAGCAACATTAAAAGTGTCTCCCCATTGTCCAAATCCTTAGAAAATCATGAACACACTATTTTTTAGAGCTTAATACCTATCCAAGAGAATCAACCAAAAAAATCTAATAAACCTAAAATCACACCATTCATAGTACAAGGACACTTGTTAATAGGGCCATTATGAGAAATAAAACAAAAATATTTATTGCTAATTAGCTGTTATTTACTAATTTTGCCCAGTCCGTCCACGTGGCGCCACCCCATTGGCTTGCCTGTCTGTGTTCGTCCATATGGGTTGCTTTCAGAAATCAAGCTATGTACACTGCTCACCCGTAGTACACTAACAACACGCTCTCTCTCCCTCTCTTAAAAACCCCTTGCCTCATTATCTTTCTCTCTCTAGATTTTATCTTTCTCTCTCTTCTTTCTATGAGCATTTTTCTCGGGTTTTGAATTTATGGGCTTTTCCTCCTCCTTCAATTTCTCTCTAGGCCTTATCACCTCCCTCTCGCGTGCCATTTCATTGCATATATTTAGGCTAGTCATTAACTCTATTGACACTCTTAGATTTCAGAATCAGACGCGTGGGTTTTTATAATTTCTTTTTTTCTTGCAATTTTTTCTGATTTTGAGCTATAAATAGAGAGGTAAGGAGAAGGGTTTGGTGTGGCTGGTTATTCTGGAGTGGGACACAAGAGTCCATGACTGTAAGTGTTTCTCTATCTTTGTTTTAATGGATTGATAGTTGCCATATTTATGGGTTTTTCCTGTTCTGTTTTGCTTTTTTTTCTGGGTAAGTATTCTGTTTTGCTTAGCATTTTAAGTATATATTTTTTGTTCATGTGATGAAATTGAATGGATTCCATTATTTTTTCTTCACTCTCTGATTTTTCTCAATGTGGGTTGATGGTGTTTTTAGTCTGTGTACTTCGGAGTGGGTTTTGTCAATTCTTCAATTTTTTTTACTTGGTGGGTTTGGTCATTTATAAGTGGAAGGAGTTGATTAGGTTGAATATGTGTAGCGTGTTGCATTTTTCTTCAAGAAAATTTGTTTCATGCAAAGTACCCTTTGCATGCTTATTTGTTGCATCAGCTATGAATGTTCTGATTCATTTGATTGTTTCTTCTTTTTACCTGATTACCAGTTGTCCATAACAGCATATTTCTGATACATTTTGGTTGTTTATTCTCTGCATCAGCTATTTATATCAACATTTTTGTGATGCATCTGGTAATTTGTCGCTGAACTTCCAAGAACTTTAGTAGGTTTTTGCACTTAGAAACTGTGGTTCAACTTCCCCAGGTAAATTTTGCAATGCGGTACCTCTCAGTTTAAGCATTGAGGTTGGTGGATTGGGTAGAACCAATCTTTACTCCTTGTAGTGAAGTTCATCCTAGGTTTTGCACTCCTTACACTTGTTGCATGTGAGTAGCACATGTTTGTTACTTCTCTCTGAAGTCTCTGATTGTTTCTAAAATCTCTTATGCATCGAAATGTATATTTGGGGAGTTTTGGCATGTCAAATGATCATCTGCTATTGATTTTAGCTATGAGAAGTTTGTTCTTGATAACCCTTAGCTCATTGATGAACAGTGACATCTATCCTCCTATTCCTCTACTAATATACTCACACCCTAATCGCTTTTTTTTTAATCCTTAATCCTACTTTCTTTGTTATTAGTTATGTGCATCTCAGAATATCAATCCTGGCGCTCGTGGTGTTTACACTGGAAATTTTTCTTGATTGTGAAGTTCTTTTTAAAATCGATACTTCCTCTGACGATAGTTTACGTGATGGGACCACGTTTATAGCATTCACTTCATGTGTATTATCCTGAAATAGTAAATAATACAGCAATCGGTAGTTCATGTTATTATTTGTTTACTCTTTATTATGCACGTTTATAGGATCGGATCACCTCTATAGCATTTGTGCAACGTCTTCCTTCTTATTATGGTAAAAGAGCCACCAAATGATTGTTGGCATTACGTGATGGGACTACGTCTATAGCATTCACGTCATGTGTATTATCTTGATATAGTAAATAATACGGCAATCGGTAGTTCATGTTATTATTTGTTTACTCATTATTATGCACATTTATATGATCGGATCACCTCTATAGCATTTTCGCAATGTCTTCGTTCTTATTATAGTAAAAGAGCCACCAAATGATAGTTGGTGTTATTGTTTGTTTATTGTTTATTCTCTAGGTTTATACGACCGGATCGCATCTATAGCATTTGCATAACGTTTTACTTTCTTATTATAGTAAAGAATTCAGCAAGTTATAGTTTGCGTTATATTTATTTGCTCTTTACTGTGCACGTTTATAGAACTGGATCAGATCCAAGCGTATTTATGCTACGTGTGCTTTCTTACTATAGTATTAAACTTTGCAATTGATACTTCATGTTATTGTTTTCTTGCTGTTTACCATGTATATTTATATGACCTTTGTAGCACTTGCATAGTGTGCACTTTCTTGTTATCGTATTCATCAATCAATTGTTTATGTTATTATTTATTTGCTCTATACTATGCATGTTTATATGTCTAGATCACATTTCAATTATATTAAAGAATTCACCAGTTGTTAGTTTGAATGCTTATTGAACTACTCTTTATCTTGAATGAAATATCTCCATGCTAGAGTTCGTCAATTGATAATCTAGAAAGTGTGAAACGGAGTTAGAAATATCCCCTAGAAACTAGATAGGTTTCTAAATTGTTTTTTTTTCTATCTTTAAGAATGGAAATGAAAATATTCAATGCGACTATAGAGTTAACAAATACAAGTTGGCCTTTAAGTCTCATGTAGGATGACCATCCGTCGGAGCTTCCATATTTGCAAATCTCTCCCACCACCAAGTTCCCTAGGAAGATGAGATACACTAACTACTTGAAACCATTTAATACAGTGATTTCTTTTATGCACCATTCATTCTCCATTCTTTTTGCTATGTTTTTTGTAACTTCATGGTAAACCGTTGAATAATGTCGTGCAACCTCTATGAACAATTAATTTGTTGGAGATATTCATGCTAGAATTTACAGATCCCAACGTGAGAGTGTCGGCTTGACCTAAGTTTGTTTGACAAATGCAGAGTGGATAGGTCGAAATCTAACTATAACAAAACCTCTTAGAACCCATATTTTGTTGGACCCATTTAGTAAGGGCCCATATTCATTGCATATAAAGTGCCAACATGGCAGCTATATAGGTGTGGTCCATTCTATTCAGCTTATGGTCCCCAATCGTGCGTAAAACACAACTTATTGCATTTAGGTCCAAAACTCCAAAAAGTTGTTTTACCCTCATTGGCAGTAAGTCACTAAGGCAGCTCGGCTCGACAACTCAATATGCTGCAGCATAACTTTCCCTAATGGTTTTGAGTGGTTATCGGTATTAAGAAACGGTTAAGAATTTTTGTGCCTTCTAAATTTTATAGGAATGTGCAGTGTTTGAAAATTCAGCCGCCCAACCACCTAGGCGGCCAATTGCCTAAAACCCTTGGGCGGAACCTACGCGAGGCACCTAGGCGGCAAGGCACCACCTCGATGCAGGTTGCAGTGGGTGGAAAAATGCCCTCGGCTATGGTCAAAATAGTACTTTTTCCCCCCAAAAATGGGGTAAAGGATTTTGGGTGACCTTCTAAACCCCCAAAACCAAATCCGTGCCATCTAGAGAGAAAGACACTCCCCAAAAACCTCTATTTTGTGATTTATTGAAAAATTGATAATTTTTTCGTCTTTTTCAATTTCTTTCGAAATCAAAGGCAATGCTTGGTGGTAGTTTTCGGAGCTTCTAGTGGTCAAGAGTGAGGACTTTTTGGCAATTGAATAGACGAGGTTTGGGCCAACATCGTTTTCATTTTGATATTTTTAGAGCATTGTGTCATTATGATTTTTTTTTTGAATTAGGTTTTTGATTTTTTTTGATACAACGTATTATGTTTTAAATCATTTTTTTTTTTTAAAACTTATTTTTCCTTTTATGATATATTTTCATGTTTGTAGTTGAAAGATTGATTTTTTTTTTTTGATAATTAATTGATTATTAACACGTTTGGATGATGAAATTGGTCCTATACCGAATTCTTTTATGAATAATTGGTTCTTTTTTGGTACAATGTGTGATGTTTTGATATCTTACTGGTTTTGTTTTACTTTTTTGATATTTTTAAATATTTGTAGATGAAACATTTACCAATTTGGACTTATATTTTGTGTATAGTCATAAACTTTGGATGAAATTGATATATTGTGAATATTTGATATCCAAAACCAAATCTTATGGATATTAATTAATAAATAAAAATTGTATTATAACTTTTATCTTAATTCTTATGTGAATAGTCCATACCCGCCCCTATTCCTGATGGGTGTCCGCCTGTGCTCTTTTGAACACTGGGAATGTGATATGAAATAATAAAGATGGAATGGCGACTTTTTGTTTATATGATATTTGACTTCTAATTTAGGTCAGGTATAGGCCTCAGACTATGTTCATATTCTAATTCACTTTATAAGTTTTTTTTCTATTTTTTTCCAACATAATATTTTATCTTTCAAACTAGATTTTATATGCATCTTTTATGATTTTTTACGCATTATGAATCTGAAAGGTTATTTGGTTTTGTACATAGGAACAAATAGGGGTGTCAAAAATCCGAGGCAGCCTGCCTCATACTAAACAATGCTTGAGTAATATTTTTTGGCTTGACAAGGCAAAATAAGTAGAGTCTACTAGCTCAAACAAGCCAAGCTTGACTTGACCCATGCTCGGCTTGAGCTTATTTAATATATCATGTAAATCAATAGATGAAATAATATAGCATATTACTTCACTTCAATTTATTTTAGTTTTTTTTGTTTGGCTTGTTTATGGCTTGACTTGAGCCCAGTTTAAATAAACAAGTCATGCCAAAGCAACCTCATGCCGGTTGTTTCATGCTCAATTCAAGCTTAAGTTAATACTCAGGCCATGCAACCTGAGCTTGAATATGACTGCACTAGACTCAGCTCCATTTGTCAATTTGTCTACACCTCTTGAAACCAATATGGTGAGATGTGATATTAATTGAAATTGAGAGGATAACCATTTTGACTGGATGTCTTTTGATAGGGTTGACTGTTTTCCCAGTTAGTTATTTTAGTAAGCCAAGCTAAGCCGACCTTGGGCCTGTTGAAGTTATTAATAGCATATTACTGACTTCATTTGAATTTATTCTAATTTTAGTTGGTTTGGCTTGATTTGAGCTAGGTTTAAATGAACAAGTCAAGCCAAATTTGGCCTGCCGGTTCAAGCTCAAGTCAAGCTTAAGCTAGTCCTCAGGCCATGCAACCTGAGCTTGAACATGTCCATACCTGACTCAGCTCCGTTTGTCACTTTCTCTACAACTCTTGGAGCCAATATGGTGTAAATGGTATCGAAATTGAGAGGATAACCATTTTGACTAGATATGTTTTAATAGGTTTGACTGTCTGAGAACCCTTAAGCCGAGCTTGGACATGTTCAAGCTCAGGTTACGTGGGTTGAGGACTAGGTCGAGCTAGGCTTGAGCTTGCGTGTGAACCACCTGGCTTGAGCTTGGCATGATTAATGGGCATGATTAATGGAAGGTGAGCTTGGGCTTTGCTTGACGGTTAGCCAGATAAGCTCAAGTCAAAGCCATAACAATCTGAGCACAATCCTGCAAGCCAGCCAAACCATAAACAAGCCAGGAAAAAAATAAAAGTTAAAGCTCAATTGTGATCAGTAAAATATGATTTACATTTTATTATATATAATATATAAAACAAGCTCGACCAGAGCTTGATTCAGCTCAAATTGTCTTGTTTAGCAAACAAGCTTGTAGGCTTGGCTAATCAAGCCAAAAGTATTGCTAAAGATTGGATAAATGCTAGTCGACCCAGCTGGTTATTGGCACCCCTAGATTCATGACAAAGACAAGGGAAATAGATGGAAGATGAGAGAATATGGAACAAATAGAGAGTGGGCTTTGTATTCTTCAACAAAACAGTGGCTGGCCAAGGCAAATGCTTGTCTTCTTCTCTGTGTGGGTGTGGGTATGAGAGAGAGAGAGAACAAATAGAGAGTGGGATTTGTATTCTTCAACAAGAGAGTGACTGACCAAGGCAAATGCTTGTCTTCTTCTCTGTGTGGGTGTGGGTATGAGAGAGAGAGAGACTGGCCAAGGCAAATGCTTGTCTTCTTCTCTGTGTGGGTATGTGTGTGTGAGAGAGAGAGAGAGAGAGAGAGAGAGAGAGAGAGAGAGTATTCTTTACGTTTTAAGGTTTAGGTTTTCTTTTAGTCTGTACTAACTAAAATAATGTTACTTTCTTTACTTACTTAGTTTTACGTTCCTTTACGTTAGTTTACGGGCTACGTT